GATAAAAAGGCCCCCCCCCAATTCCCCCCCGGGGGGGTTCCCCCCCCCCCCCCCCCCCTTCCAAGAACACCATCGATACCTGGAAGTCAAGCCTGCAGTGTTGGTCACCTCCGTCAGGGTCAGTTTGATTAATTAGTCCCCAAAGGATGCACTGGACGGGAGTAGACCACCTGTATCAAATTCACTTGACGCAAGCTCTCTCCGCAGATGACGGCCAGCCCTTACGTCTGTGGTCTCTCGTGGGCAATGAGAAAATCTGCGCAGTACACAGAACTGATTACAATGCTCCAGTCACTACTTGACTCCTCCAAGAGCTGCTGTGCTGCATGCACTGCGCCTGTGCAGCCTTTGAATCAACATTGTGTAGGCAGGGCCCTACAGCAAATTGAGCATCGTTCTCAAGCTCCTTCAGTTCAAAGGTTCCGATCTTACAAGGATACGCACCGCTCCTTCGTCCTTCTCGCCGACCGCCGCTCCGCCGCCCTCAGACACCACCGACCGACTTCCATTTGCAATCACAAAATCCCCAATACCGCTGTCTCGGGTACGGAAACGGTCTCAATTTCGTAGCTGCTGGCGGCCGAGCGGCGCAGCCGCGGATACTCGCCCCTTACTCAACGCTAGAGCAACCACGCCCTCGACCACGCTATCATGCCGATACTGCAACCTCTCGCCGCGTCGCTCCGCTCGTGGTCCGCAACGTGGCCGAACGTGCGTGGGTTGGTCATATGCATCCGATCGAAAGGATGCTGGAAAATGGGGCTGTTCTGGGGCCGTGGTTTGCATGACGAGGTGAGTCATGAGGGAACGGCTGCGCGCTCGCGTAGGGTGGCGCGGCGGTGGTGAGGTCAATGATGGATTGTTATGAGGCTGGGGTTACATGTGCTTGTGACGGCTGCCACGTGCGATGTCGGGCGGCGTGGAAGACGTGAAGTGATGTGATGTGATAGACCATGACATCTGCTGGACTGAGACTGACTTACCTTTGAGGAATGTTCTAGGCAAGGTTTGTTGTCCCCGCAGCACCAACTGAGACAGACACCGAGGATACCGAAGACGCCAGAGTCGTCGATGAAAAACAATGCCATGGTAGATGCAATCTCGGCTGCCTGGTCGAGAGCGTCATACGACCTTTTTGAAGGGTTCGCGGAACCTCTGTTCTCATATTAGAAGAGCATGCCTCGATTTGCACAGAGCTTGGCACGTTGTTGCACAGCTCAACATCAATGACAAGTGACATGACAGCATCCTCCTCCGCAGCGCCAGCATCTAGATCATAGCTCTAGATCTCACGAAAACGTTGACAAGATTTCCAGCTGCGTAATACAAAAGATTGACGAACAAACTCGTTGCAAATACCATGCTGTGTCGATCGATCGACGTACTCCGGTATGTCTCGATCTATGCAGCATCTATTTCAACTCCGGAGTGTCAGCGTAGCATTGCGCCATAAGCTGAGGAGCATAGCGCTCGCCGCTGACATCTGCTTCCTCACACGCCTTTCTGATCTGCTGCTCCTCATCTTTGCTCAGCTTCACCTCCAACGAGCCCAAGTTCTCCTTAAGCCTGTTCACCTTGGTAGTACCAGGAATGGGGAAGATGTCGTCGCCTGTATGGTGTCAGCTGCTATTATCTCATATTTGGGGTCAGGATTGATCTCACCTTGTGCCATCAACCACGCAAGTGTCAATTGACTGGCCTGGACACCCTTCTTCTTCGCCAGGTCGGTGATCTGATCGACGAGCTTGAGGTTCTTAGGAAAGTTCTCGGGGCTGAAACGAGGCATCTGACTGCGGTAGTCGTCGCTCGCGAAGTCATCAGGAGACCTCAGAGCACCGCTGAGGATGCCACGGCAGAGTGGAGAGTAAGCGACAATCGCAACACCAAGTTCTCGGCATGTGGCAAGGAGGTCGATCTGCTTGCTCTCGATTTCAAGAGCAAAGGGCGAGTACTCGACTTGCACAGCCGAGATGGGGTGGACAGCGTGTGCGCGGCGCAGGGTGGCTGACGAGACTTCAGATAATCCAAGGTACTTGATCTTGCCCGCCTTCTTCAACTCGGCCATGGCTTCGACAGTCTTCTCAATTGGGGTCTTGCCATCGACACGGTGGCAGTAGTACAAGTCAATCTGATCGATGCCGAGACGCTCGAGACTGGCATCGCAGGCCTTCTTAAGATACCCAGGTGAGCTATCAACCTGGAATGTCTTCTGGTCGACTGCGAATTTTGTCGCGAAAAAGATGTCATTGCGCTTGTCCTTGTTCGCAGCGAACCATCTGCCCAGAAGCACCTCGTTGTCGCCGTACCTTTGACTCATGAGCTGAGAGGATATTGCGTTGTCAGGGTAATACGCACAGATCGGAAGAGTCCCAGAAGCGCTCTCCTAGCTTGTGTGCTTGCGTAAGAACCTCGAGACGCTCTTCGTCTGGCTTTGGCTTGCCGTAAAACATGGACAGTCCCATCAGACCGAAGCCGAGGCGGTTGACCTGGGGACCTTTGCGGCCTAACTGAGCTGTTGGAAGAGACATTATGTGTGTGGTGTAGAAAGGCGCGATCAGACCTGTAGAACGAAGGGTCGAATGGGTCTTGCTTGCATTGAAAGCAGGTCACAGTGACATCAAGCGAGAATATATGTTCAATAGGAAGGAGCCACAGACACGGACTTAGCACCAACGGAAGGAGCTTTCAAGTACCTAGGCAACCCCTCGAGCTTCTCTCAGGCACAAATCGTCCGCTTGGTCGCTGCTTCCGGAGGCAAACCCGTCTCCAGCCCCGCCTTCAAGTGATCCATCGTGACGTCGCGGACAGAAGCGGGGTTAAGCAGCATATTTCCGTTACCTTTTCTCATCAACGTCGCTTTCATCACATACATGGGGCGTGGAAGCCAAGGCCTTAGATGATTTTATCGGTGTAGGAGTACATAAAGTGTGTTGTATGCTGTCGAAACAAGAAGGCGCGCTGACCGCTTATCTCACGTGGTCGGGCATGGGGCGATGCCACAACCGAGATCTCTGACTCTTCTCGAAGCTTACTCTACCAACACACTAGTAGCGTGCGTTGAACCGCGCCTACAAACAACACCACGTCATCGCTCGTGAACTGATCGTCACACCTGAACTTACCCAAAGTGGCACCAGCATGTCGATACAAATCAGCGACTTGAAGCTGTCCAAGCTCAAGCGCCTCGAACACCAACATTTTGAGCCACCGACTCAATTTCGCAGCCGCTTTGAGTTCGACCACAACGATGAGAAGATACACGTTCTGTTGTGCGCCACAGGGTCCGTCGCAACGATCAAGATACCAAATATGATCAACGCGCTTGCAAAGCACCCAAAAATTGCCATTCGCCTCATTTTCACGACCTCGGCAAAGAACTTCCTGCAAGGGCAAAGCGATGAACAGCCGTCACTTATGTCAATAGAGTCGCTACCAAACGTCGAAGGGATCTACTTTGACGAAGACGAGTGGAAAGAGCCCTGGAAGCGGGGTAACAAGATCCTGCATATCGAACTGCGTCGGTGGGCAGATATCATGGTCATCGCCCCGTTGAGCGCAAATGAGATGGCAAAGATCACACAGGGCTGGTCAGACAACCTGCTGCTATCTGTGGTGCGCGCATGGGATACTACCGGTCTCATCGACCCACTTAGAGAGATCCCAGGTGTGACATGGCCTGAAGAAGAAGGTTGGAAGGATGGGCCTAAGAAGAAGAGAATACTCGTGGCGCCATCGATGAACACGGCTATGTGGCTGCAGCCTATTACAAAGAAGCAAGTGCAGGTACTCGACGATGAGTGGGGTGTGAAAAATGGAGGCTGGTACGAAGTGCTGCTACCGATGGAGAAAGAGCTGGCTTGTGGAGATATTGGCGGCGGTGCAATGAAAGACTGGCGGGTGATCGTGGGAGTCATCGAAGCAAGACTTGGTCTGACGGCCGGCAAGGACTGAAAGACCCTTCGAATACCAACTCGGCGACGGCTTCATAGATGTTCGCTTCTCCAGGTCAGACTGCGCCAAAAATCGGGTGTGAATTGCAAGCATCTGCGTATTCCTTCACAGACCCTGTGAACGGACGCATGAAAATCTGCCAGCACGTCAAGTTTGGCGCCCACATACTCTGTGTGGCTCACTCTTGGACCGGCGGGTCTCACCTTGGCTGAAGATACGCATGTGATTGGGGTCACCACGCTGCAATATTTGATCCACGTCTCTCTCCTCGCAGTGCAAAGAGGATGGATATGGTGAGACTCGAACCCGTATCTCCGCGCTCCCATGGGTTACACCAAGGACTTTCGCTATGGTTGTCACTTTTGTCCCCAGTGCGTTGTTCTACCTTGCTGAACTACATATCCGCGGCATTGGATGAATGGCCGCTGTGCTGTTAAATGGATATGCTTGCCAAACGAACGCAAAGTACTACATGCTATAGATCAAAGGAGAGATCGAGACTTATTCGGACTCGCGAACATGCTGAGACGGAAAGCACTGCTTTGAACAAGGTTGAGATGATACCTTCTGATTATTCAGATGCTGCTAGAGGCGGAGTATATGATCGACGATGAAACTGTACCGAGGATATTTGAAGTTCTGCACGCGCAGAACGCCGGTGCTAGTCTGTGCGATGCATGGGGATGGAGCAAAGAATGCAATTTACGTTGCGTACATAGTAGCTTGCACTGAGTACACGGCGTTCAAGAATAACAGAACGAAGACATCACAGTGGCCATCGATAATATGTCAAGGTCTGGTCGGTTAGATGAGATTCCTGACTGTACTAACTCGTTGATTCCAAACAGCAAGTAGATTTCCGGTTATTGATTTTATGCACCTGCTACAACTAGCAGATGTTCTGCTACAACGTGTATCAAAGAAGCACACACGTTGATAGGATAAAGGAAAGAAGACCAATCATGGACATCCATTCACGATAGGATAATTACCTACCAGCACTCGTCCTCACTATGTGGTTTCAATTCTTGCTTAGAGAGATCCATACAGAACGCATGCTCGTTCCAACTAAGTGGTGAACAAGCCGGAAGAGTAGAACGTGAAAACACCGGTGGAGTACGTATAGGTGCAGTGCGAAGCGGCGTAGGCAATCGAATCCGTGCTGGAGATTTCCAGCATGCAATGCAGACCGATACAACAGCCTAGGCAGTAGCACACTGGCGACGCACGAACGCACCCGGAATAGCTTAAAGAGGCACGTCGTAGTGCAAAAATGTACGCCGTGGGAAGGTGAAGATGAGTACTCCATGGGAGCAAAAAATGTTATCTCCCCCGGAAAGGCTCGAACTTTCAACCTCCTGATGTGCAATCAAGCGAGATGCGGATAACAGTCAGACGCGCTAGCCAATTGCGCCACGGAGGATTAACGGTTTGAAGGCCGCTGTGAGCAATTGCGCCACCACTTGGTGGATTCATGGCAAATCGAGCAAAAATAAAATTCATATCGCCAATGTGAAATTGTGCGCCTGAGAAGCTCTGGATCCCATACTCTTTTGCAAGGCGTTCTTCTAGGAATGGGCCGGAAACAGCTCTTTAGGACGGGGTTGGCGAGTTTGGCCGAGGCCTGGACGATACAGTGGCTTCTCGTGACAAGACCGGCCTTTTTTCCTTGCTGGTTCCCCTACAAACACACCTGCGAACCCCTCAGAGTAGCAAAGATCGTCGGTGCAGCCACGCCTGCCACGACTGCCACTTCGATGCCAGAATCAGATCCTTCGAAAAGGACTACTTTGTGCGCCCATCAATTCAACTGTGCACAGTCAAAGCGAGTTGAAAATTGTCTCCTCTCGTCGAAGAACATGCGCGAGGATGAAGAACATTGCGCAGCGCTCGCGTAATCTCGCCAGGAAAGCAAGGTATCGGTGAGTATCGAGCCGCTACGGATGCCACGTCGTAATGCGTGGCTTTCGCGTTGCATCAAAAGCCAAGTACACGCTCAGATTCCAGCAATCTACGAAGCATCAGTGTCTGTTCAGACATCATTTAGGTGCAAATAAGTCTCCTATTGATTGCAAAGATCCTGCTGTCAGACTCAATTTTTCTGCGACGCGAACGCCTGTCATTTCCCTATGGTCAGATCGGTCCTTATGGTACTCCGTCGATGCGTCGGTCCGGCCTGTCTGAGGTAAAGACGTCTAGACCAAGTGCCGTTGTAGGGCAAAAGGGAGCGTAGGGTTGAGCTCCGCTTTCGTGCGCTTGGTGGCCGAGTCGTCGTTGGCTGCCGGATGGTTTGCTTGACAGCAGAAACACTTCGAAAGCAATCGCAAAGGAATGTTGCAGGATCTGATAGGGCGAACCTCGTGGGGGACTGGTGGAAGGTCGAGGACTTGCAAAGCTACAGCTGCGTTGCTGCTAAGGCGGTGACGAGGCAACGCGTCCATGAGTTCACCTTGACCGCGCAAGAACTTCGTAACACGAACACACCGAAACCACCATGAGTCATGACATGTATGAGATACCATTGAACTATCAGCACGTATTGAAATGCACTGCCTGAATGCAGTTGTCTAGATGTCCCCAAGCTTCCAAGGTTTGATTGATCAAGTGGACAAACGTGCATCAAGACTGCAAGACTCCGCCGAAGTACACATGTGGCAAATCCATGAGGTTGAACCTCAAGCGGGCGCACGTGGCCCCTCACAGCCAATAGTAGGCCATGAGAAGGAATCGAAATTGGCCACAGGGATTGACAATGGCAACCATTTGCTGGACATTGTAGCGCCGTACGTCGGCCTATTGCCGCGTACCTCGCACCTACCTGGTAAGTACCTCCGCGAGAGGGATTGATAAGCAGTAGCACTGATCTTGATTACTACATCTGAAAATGACGAAGTAGAGCGGGTTCACCTCAACCTCCTATGCCATGGCAAGCACGCTCAATGAAATAGGCAACTCATGCTTGGAATGCTCGAGACAGTGCATCTAAGCAATAGGTAGCGATCTATACCGCACTGGATTTCGTCTGACAAAAGCAATATCTTGGTGTTCCAATACAGAGCTGTGGCAGACTTCTCGTGCTGCCTGTCAAACGTGTAACCATGAGGAGGAGGAGGAGCTCCTCAAGTAGCTGGTTCCATGGGTGATATTGGAGACCATACTGGCGATGCGATGAAACCCACACACCTGTACACGCTTTCGTAAGGAAGTAAGGGTCAAGAGAGGTCAGAAAGAACAAGGAGACAAGAGCAAGAAGCGCAAGAGCGAGGAAAACAAGAAGGAAAGCACCTCATCTACACATGTGCAATGCTACCCAGGTCTGCGATAGACGGAACAATCATCGACATCCAAGTGGGAAAAGCTCCAAGAACACTATCTATAAGGACATCGATGTCTATCGAGATCATCTCGTTGTTTAGCGAGGTACCATTTGGGATGGTGTAGCCATCAGAAGAGATATCAGGTTACAAGACGCCTGTGAATAGCTCACGACTAGCTCTTCTATTTCCGACTTATCCCTCTTAGCAACTGATAAAGCGGCAGATCTGTCTACAGTCTAACGGTCCAAAAAGTTGAGGCCGAGATCAAGAGAGGTTCTGGAGCCGGTGCGACCCACGTGACCCGCATCCGAAGCAAAAATACAACTTCGCCATCAGCACGTCTATACACAGCACAAAAATGCATCGGCCGGGAATCGAACCCGGGGCTAGCCGAGACTGTGTAACCTAATAGGTCACGTGGCAACGGCTAATTTTACCACTAAACCACCGATGCAGGGTAATCGTTGATGAAAATAAATCAAATTTTGATATTTCTATACGTTTTTGTTAAGGATATTCTCTGCAGATGCCCAATGTCTGCAGTGTTATGGAAGTTCCGCTCTAGGCTGTGCAGACAAAATATCTTAGCTTGGGAAAGGTCGCTTCCAAACTTGAAGTTACACAAATTTCCCCGCCAACACCAAGATGCCCCAACAAGTCGTCAGAATTGGTCGAACCTCATCTATGCAATCAAGTCTTGGTGCTCAAGCGAAGGAACCGTCGAAGAGCATGTTCTTCGTCGTTCAGAGGCATTAGGAATCTTCGCCTGGATCTTCATTTATCAATGAATTGGGAGATTGAGATATATACTGTACAACTCAGGTGAGATCACTTCCGCTATCCTATGTATGTAAGCTCCACCACTACATTCAGTTTGTTGCACGAAGATCATCCGCTCAGGCCTACGACACCATTCCATCGAGAATATGACCTGAGATACATGATTTGGAGTATATTTCCCATTCTGTAGGTCACCGAAATCTAATCATGCCGTCGAAAGTGGAATCCGGCTCCGACTCCAATTCGATATCGGAAATGGACAAGTCAGCCAGAGCAAGTCGAGAGCACAAACCTTTTGAATGGACTGGCTTGTGTGTGACTCTTATCGGTGGTTCTGCCCCGCTGTCGATGTGCTTCAGCTTACGGACCAATTGCTGAGCAGTCAGGCGCTTCCTCGGGTCGATCTCGAAGAGCTGAGGAAGGAGCTGGGCGATATCTTTGAGAGGTCCTTCGCAACGGCGAGAGACACTGACTATCATCTCCACAACCAGATCGCGCAGCTTGAAACGATCACTTCCTGCTGGCATGTAGTAGAAGCCTTCATCTTCCCGCCCTCCTGGAGTAACTTGACACTCTCTCCGATCTCGAAAGTCTTTCAGTGCCGCATAGCCGTCGAGAAACCATACTAACAGCTCCAGATAGACACAGCCAAGAGACCAGACATCATACGGACGAGACGTTTTTCCTGTTGCAGTGGCCTCGGGTGCTCGATAGCTTGGTGTGCCACTCTTGCTGACCGTTCGATAGCTGTGACGATTTTTGCCTGCGACCGACGACAGAACGTCGACCACCTTCGCACACGAGAAGTCTGACAGGCGGAACCAGTATTTCTTTTTTCTATTATCGTCTTCAAAGACGAAGACGAGTAAATTCTCGGGTTTGATGTCGTGGACGTAACCAGTCTTCTGAACGGCATGTCGTGGCGCCAGCAGGTTCGAAGTGCGCTTACAGTCAGTCTGCCCCTGATTATGAATGAGATTGAGTGCGTCAGCCAGACCGAACAGCTGTTGAGCTAGGTCTCCAGGCCGCAGATCCACAAGCTTGCGCGGGTCGTTGTTCATCGCCATGAGCTTTTCAACGTCGCAGTCTGCCTTCTCGTAGACCATGTAATACTGAGAGCTAAAGGTAAAGCTAGCGAGGCATTTGAGCAGATGATCATGCGACAGGTCTGCCATAGCACGATGGAATGACACTTCGCGCGTGCCTTCATGCTGCGTGACTTTCATCGCGAAGAAGCCGTGTTTGTCGGCGCCCTGCAGGTATTATCAAGACAGTCATCTTAGCGTGTGGGTAGAGAACTTACACTTGAGAATGATCGCTGATCAGGATGGATCCAGATCTTGTAAACATCGCCAAATGCCCCTTGGCCGAGCAATGAAGATCTCCTTTCGTCCAGGCCAACAGGCTTAGCCACGCGGCCATCCCATTCCTGTTCTGAGTTGAGATCAAGGTACGCGGAGTTGAACAGTTTTTGGTTCTCCAGAAAGCAAGCCTTGAATCTCCGCTTGTACTTTTGTAGTGGGCAGTCTTCTTCTCGAAACGGAAATTTGGCATCGGTGAGGCCGGACTCGAATAGTGTCTTGACACAGGTCAAGGGCAGCTCGCCATAAACACACGTGGCGAACATTTTACGGCCTTCAGTACAGATTTTATGTACAAAGTCATTTTGTTCTTGATGTCCCAGACACAGGTTGCCGTCTCTAGAGACACAAGACCTGATAACAGCTTCGCTCGTGACAAGGTCGAAGTTTGGTCTCGGCAGAAAGGTCTGCTCTTCTCCTCTGAATGTGACCGTCGTCATATGACTGTCCATATATTCGATGACATCGTCGATTCCGGTACAAAGTGGCTGCATAGCGAGGACAGCGGCGTCGAACTGTTGCTCCATGCCATGTAGCTCTGGCTCTGGGAAGTCCGTTGTCGGGCCATCTGTTGGCGTGGCTTCACCCGCGTCTGTCTCCGACGACTGCGAGGTTGAGTAGAGCGTTTGCGTAGCCTCACAGACTACCGTAGCTGGCATCAGATATGCAATGCGCCTAGTGCTCGATGTTGCGACGACATGACCAAGGATAGCGCCCGTGTGAGCATTGAAGACACCAACCCCGCAATCGCCCACCTCAAGAGACTCGTCGCATTCGACGCGGCAAGTCTCTTGGAACGTAGCACTCCCTGGCAGCCGCATGTATGTTGGCTCACCGCAGGATTCACCAGATATGGTACCATGCGATGTACGAGCAATGGTAGCCACATAGTCTACAGACTGTTCCTCTGCTGCGCAGTACTTCAAAGTTGCCGGGCTGGTTTGGGCGCGCGGGAAGTTCCGCTGAAGCTCCAAGAGATATCGTTCATCGGTGACTTTGATGAGCGCCCAATCCTGATCGATGGAATAGCGCAGACGATGTCCCAGGAGTCTCCTTTGTTTGATCAATGCGTTACTTGAAACAGAGGACGCGTTCGTCTGGCGAGATCCTTCGTCAATAGCAGACGGAGGTGGACTCAAGGGCTCGAAGGTCGCCATTGCTGTCCTCAGTGATGTGTTCGTTCTTTGAGTACTGTATGTCGAGCGGCTGTAGCTTACTTTTGGGCTGTCATCTTCAGAATCAAGACTGGTGTCTGACACTGAGTCCATCAGGTCCTCGCTGCCATCTTCACTTCTTATCTCACTCTCGTCGTCACTTTCGTCCTCGTTCTCTGTTCCACTGCCGAAATCATATTCGCTTGAGTCGTCATTATTTGGCCCTTGTGCGATCATGAGATCTTCCTCGAATACGTGTGAGACTGTCAGTAACATGCACTGGTCCCCTTGATACACCAGGTTTGCAGTTGCTCGACGGACGCGATTGGCCCTGTTGGTAACGAAGATACTCATACCGATCGCACCGATAGGCTGGACAGGATCAAGGAACACCTCCAACGCATCATCTGAGAGCTGATCATGTCCTGACATAGAAGCAAGCGACTGGGTGGCAGCTATGACCAGTCTTCCCGCGCCTGGCTCTCGAGCCTGCTCTCCCACACGGAATCCTGGCAGTGCTTCCTTCAGAATCTCCTGCAACGCTTTTTTGGCAATCTTACGAGCCTCTCTCTCCTCGCAGAAGATCATGATTGTCGGTCTTGCCAGAGTCTTGGAGCGTCCGATTAAGTATAACTGAAAATGTAATGGACTTGTGTAGATGTACTTGAAGGCCAAGTTGAGCTGCTCCAGAAGCTGCGGTTTGGCGGCAGCAAAATCCTGTTCAGCCTGGCCTGCGGCGTGCCACCAGTACCGATCATGGAAGACTCCCACTTCGGTGCCGATCGAGGTCGCGGCGTGAGCATATCGCTGCGGTCTTAAAAAGTCCATGGCTGCCTCGGAATAGACTCCAAACAATAGCAGTAAAGGTCTCAGATGAGTGATGAAAAGCAAGAAACTGTGCGTGCAGACTGCATGTGACAGCGCAGAGGGAGTGCGGGGTTTAAGCTGACTGCCAGCTCACAGTTGCAGCCACAGCCTTGCCAACCCGACCAGGGTACGCGATCATCAGGGCAGTGCAAGCCACGAAGCGTTTCAGGCCTAAGAAGCGCTTGCATCCGCTGGTTCAGATTGTTGATGTTCGTTCTTGCCAGACCTTGATTGTGACCGATGCAGGCACAACCAACCCAGGACCCCGCCTCGCTGTTGTGCCAGGCGCTGCGTGAGCCGACAACTTCAGATTTAAGGACATGTATAAGTCGCAATCTGTGGGGATGCAGTCCACTAACAACCACCGGCTCAAACGACGTCGGCTTGGAGTCTTATTTCGCTTTCTACACTCGAGAATGCATCTGGGCTTCATCTATCGACCAGGGAATCCACTTAGCTGCTAGTACCCATGACGAGATCGTCAATATTGCAGCCATTCTCCAGTCAGGCTGCGACAAAACTGCGGTTCGGCAGAGGCTGAAATCACTTTTGCAGCGACAATGTTCCGCAGGCGCAGAGGACATCATGATAGACGGCTCTATCAGACTTGTCACACGCCTACTGACTATGATCAATATTGGCGCTCTTGCCAATGAGATTCAAGCGCATCTATGCTTGAACTGGGATCATGGTTCCTTGAAGGGATGCATTCATGGACATTTCAACAGAGCATCCGAGGGGACGTTCAGAGATAGAGTCCTGGGAACGGAGCTAACGGGACGTCATATGGAGCGAGTGACCAAGATGGCAGTAAAGCCAACCGACAATTTGCTTGATCATCTGCGTGTCGTGGGCCGGACAGTGTGTATCTTCCATCACATATCCTTCCTCAGATATATGGAGGAGATCGACAGGTACGCTGTACAAGTTCTTCACCAAGCGAAGATTCATGTGCTGACATGACGGCCATACAGTCCATTGTTCCCGGGTGGCTTTGTTAAAGAGACCATAGACACGCTGATATTGTTGTTTCCTGACAACAAGAAGAAGGACAGGCAATGGTTGCACCAGTACCTCCAGGAGAGCCCAATCTCTACACCGCTGGATCGAGGGTTGTTGAAGACAGGATATCATGGGCCGAAAGATCCGTGTCGTTACCTCGGCCATTACACATTCTGGCGGGATCGCTTGGAGATTCTCGGAGAAGCAGTAGAGAAGTTCACGCCGCCGACACAAGCGTTCAAGAGAGCCCTCAAGAACAGTAAGGGCGAGGGATGGATCAATTCGTGGAT